ACCGTGCGAAGACAGAGAGAGAGAGTGAATCTTTTCCCAAGCATGCGGATGCTGTGCTTGCAAAGCACTTCACCAGCTAGTTTTCTGCTTGCCACATGGCTGTAAAGAAACGGGCATGCATGTCCCATTAGACACATGGGCTTGGTGGAAACGAGTCCAATGTCCCATTAGGCACATACAAGACTGAAAATGAGATTGCACCATCTTTTGCGAAAGCGATCCTAAAGCTGCCTGATACATGGAATTCTTCTCCTCACATAAGGACGAGAGAATGTATGCTTAGAACACGGCTGTACCACTAGCTCAACCGTGAGTGGGCACCTTTTTTGGATTCTCTTTTGGATAAACTGTAAGGGGCTTTTGTTGGCAACAGCGAGGCACAAAGCCAAAACTGGGTGGGTTGCATCTTTTCTTTCCTCTCCCTCTCTCTTCTTTCCCACCCAGTGGGCTTTCAGAGAATGAGACAGAAATTCCCTGGTGTGGTGCCCTCAATAAACCTTGCCCTCTGAGTAGATAAAACTTAGAGAATTACCGGCTGAAGATCACCCAGTGAGTTTCATGGCCAACTGGGTTGTCCTAGTCCTAGCATGGGAAACATGTGCTCTTCTAGATTTTATAGAACTACAAAGCCTAGCAGTCTTAACCACAGTGGTGTAATGAAGCCAGGGCCCATCGGGACAAAACACGCCTAGTTCTACCTTCCTCAAAGTTCCCAGTTGCAGTGGAGTTTAGCTGCAACGCACAGTAACTTTGTGGGTGGGGGAAAGAATTTTCCCAGCCACAGTCTATTGTTTTCAGTTATAACACAAAGTATTTGGGGTTGCTTGTGCTGGAATGCACATTTAAGACCCCTTAGCTCCACACAAGCCCTGCTTCTGACCTGTCTGAGATGAAGACTGTGGAACTGGTTTCCTTCTATGGATTAATACCACTGCCTGAATATTATGGGACCTTCCTTGTCCGTGGGACTGTACAGATTCTCATGATGAGTGACTGCACTTCAAAATTTTTGGTTATGCCATGCTTGGTCAGCCTAGCCAATGGTGTGGAATGATGGGAGTTGAATTCCAACAGCATCCAAGGGACCACAATTACCCCGTCCATACCTTTGTCCGTTGCTTTTACCACTTGGTGCCTCTGACCCACCTGTGGCCCAGGCAGAAGGCAGGATGGCAGGATGGTGATACGGAGCCATCACTGGCCCCAGCCGAGTGGTTTCCACATCAACCATTTAACTGGTGCAAGTGGGAAGAAGCCGCGTGACAACAGCTCTTGGGCCACTGCCAGTGCCAGAATTGGCCTTTGGTTTAGTTCAGGTGCAATGGCTGCATTTGGACCACTGAGTTACTCTGCGTATATCGCTGCTTGGAATCAATGCCTTCTTATAAATAAAGCCCCAATTGTAAAAGGCATGCAGGGCTTCAATGACTTTGCTTTTGTTTGGTCCCCCCTCTGCTCCACAGAAATCTGAAAAGCAAGCGATGGGTGGCAGCTGATGCTAAAAACCCGGTATCCTTCCTTGTCTGTTGATGCTAGCTAGCTTTGAAAAGAAGAGCCAGGGACACTCCTCCCGGCAAATCGCGTCTGAAAGTTTAAGGCTGCCATGCATACGCTCTGATGCCTTGATGAGATGCTTTCATTTTGCAAGCTGCAGGTGAGAGAGATGCCAGGCCTCCTCCAGTATCCCTGGGGAAAGGCACTGGAGTGGGACGGCTTGCAAGGTATGATCTTTTGCCATTTGACATCAGGCTATGAAAGTCAATGGGTGGCTCCAGGGCAGATCGTCAGGGGGCAGCTTTTGCTGTCATGCTGTGCATTCACTCCTGATCAGAGGGAACCTCAGCCTCCTTTCTGCTGCCAAGTCCAATGTCTGCAGCAAGGTCAAGCATTAGAAGGTCAACCACGTTCGTGGCTCTACGCCCACAGACAGCAGCAGCAGGCTGCTTTGACATCCATTTTTGAGAACATAAAGCATGTGTGCCCTTCTTTTTCCTTCCTTTTACCAGCAGAAAGTCAGCTAAGATAAAAACCGGGGTCAGTGGCAGGACAAGAAGGGGAGGGGCTCCCTTTGTGTTTCAGTGCCACCAAGGCAAGTTCATCAGTGGCAGAGTAGCAGAATATGTCTGACTTGCTGTCTTAAGAGCCAACGTGGTCCTAGCACGGTGGCTCCCAACTGCTGGCTTTCCTGATGTTGGACTACACCTCCCACATCCCTGGCTACTGGCCATTCTGACTGGGGACAATGGGTCTTACAGTCCAACATCTGGAGGCTGCCAGGTAGGGGGACGTCTGGACAGAAGCAGCCTTCTCCCTGCACCTGTTCCCTACTAGATGTTTGGAACTTCAGCTCATATAGTCATTGGTCCAGAATGCAGAGTTGTAGTCCAGAAGATCTGAAGGACACCCAAGTTAGGGAAGGCTGGGCTGGAGCAACGTTTCCCAAATGTCTGACAGTTGTTTTGCGTTTTTAGCTAATTAAAATAGGATCCGCATTTTGCTCTGATGCCCCACAATGTATCCTTCTAGATTCTGTTCTTAGGTGCCATCAAGTTGTCTCTCATTTCTGGCAACCCTATGAAAGAAAGCCCTCCAGAGTGTCCTGTCCTTGACAGCACTGCTCAGCTCAAGGAAATTCAAGGTGATGCCTTCCTATATAGAGTCAACCCATCTCTGCCTTTGACTTTCCCTGGCATAATTGTTCTCTCTAGTGTGTCTTGCTTTCTGATGTGCCCAAGGAACAACAGCTTCAGTATGACAGCTTCTAGACTCTAGAGCAAGAGTATGCAACCCTAGCCTTGGACTACAACTCCCATTCAAGCCAGCGTGGCCAATGGTCAAGGATCATCAGCAGTTGTAGTCCAAAACATCTAGAAGACACCTAGCTGTGTTCCCCTGAACTAGAACGTGTGGTGTAGAAATTATCCCTCTCTGGTGGAGTCAACACCTCCCTGCCTTGAGACAAGAAGGAAGCTTAGAGCAGTGACTCATGCTGAAGATGAGCTCCCCTGAGGCCAGGTAATTCTTCTGCCTTTGCACATGAGGAATGATAGGACACAGCTGTCCTTGCAGCAGCATTATCCGTCCCTGTAATGGTTGCTGCGAACTGGGCAAGACCAGAGCAGGGATTCGGTCAGAGATACGTCTGTTCTACGTAAGAATGGTTTGTGTTGCCAAATGCATCAATGTGCTGGGAGTTAGTACGATAGGTTTGGGGACTTCGCAGTGGGACACCCAGAGTAAGCCCCATTCCTAAAGTAAATTACTTGTGCTGCTTTGGTTAGGTCACTGTCAAGAGATGGAAGCTATGGTGATCTCTCTCACGGTAGGGCTGTTCGAGAACAAATGAAGTCAAACTATATAACAATCCCATTGCACAACCCTCCAAGACAACATTATTTCAGGTTAAGGGTGGAGAACTGCATGTTTGAAAAACAATAACAAAAGCACAATACAGGTAACACACACACACACACATGGAATACCAGCCAGTTCTTAAGGATGATCACACTGGCACCCTTACAGCTTTCTCCAGCAACCTTTGGTTTATTCCTTAAAGCATGAGTGCAGAACTCCTTTCAGTCCCAGGGGCCAGATCCCATTTCATAAAATCAGTTAAAACTGTACAAATTGCCAAACTATTGGTGGTTGAGGGAAGATGGGTAACAATCTGAAGAACTCTGGAGCCAGAGTTTACCCTCAGCCTGAGGTTCTGCACCCCTGCCTTATAGGCATAAAACATTGGCTCTTGAATGGTGTTCCGGAAACCCACTGGGCCCTCTGAAAGCTTGTTACGGGCCCTCAGTGAGAAGACCAGAATGGCAGACAAGACTTCCTGCCTGCTTGCCCTACTGCACCTCTTCCTAAAACTCTTTTAAGAGAGTTCTACACATTTTTGTTCAGCCAGAATGAATCCAGCACTCCACATTAACCAGAATGACCTGGAAACATCCTTCAAAATCTGCCATGCAATCTTTCCAGTAAAAATCTCCATGTAGGGACAGAGTCTGTGTGTGTGATGCACAGAGAACACAAGAGAAGGATGGGGAAAGAGTTCCCAAGAAGTGGGGAGATTGAAAACTACCAGTGTAAGTTCAGACCTTCAGAAAATGGAATTGGCTTCAACCTGGAATGCATTGTGTGAATATAAATGGCCATGTGCATCCACAATATACAGTTTTATTCTCCATTTGAACATGTATCAACGCAGTTACAAGGGATTGCCTCACCAGTGGCAAAAGCAGATCCCTTTGGGAATAGGCTGTGGGGATGTATAGCAGAGCCCTCAACATGCAAAGCCTCTTTAGGTTGCACAATTATTTTGAGCTCTCCCGTTCTCTCCGGGGAACAGGGCTTAATAATATCTTGGTATTTTGATATGCACCATTAATTAATCCAAAACTGCTTTCATGCAATTTTTTGATGATGTATTTCCCAGTCCAGTTTTTCTCCAAGCAATCTAAGAACAAAGCAAATCCTCCTTGGTAATCAGGAAGTTTTCTTATGAGAGCATTTTCTTATGCAGCAGTTCTTACCTGAGATTTGGTACACTGAACAACTCTGTTCTTAAGCCTGATGTATCCCAGGAGAATCAGAATAACACAATTAGTTTAGTCCATTCATTTTATGGACCTATTATGCATATGACTTAAGTCTAGATCCAACCCCAGTATTGGGACAGATGGAGTCAAGAATTCATTCAGAGAGGGTTCCTTGGTCTTCCTGAGCAGATCTGAGCAGAAATGGTTGGTTAGCATATCCTTTACAAAAATCACACCGTTCATACCCTTATTTAGTGCAAGGGAATATGTATCATGGACTACTTCCGTCTCAGCACAAGGAAGCAGCAAAGGATAACTTCCTAGGAGCTTTCTGGTCAGTGCAGAATGAGGATAGAAGTTAAGTGCTCTACTGATGAAGATATTAGGCTGTCGGAGTATTGCTGTTTAGGGGGGAAAGAAAGGTGTGGAGATATTTTAAATGTGTGCATCTGTTTTTTGCAGGTGGCATGCAGCCCAGCCTGTGTTTTGGCCAGAGCTGAAGGCCATGGCTACTGTTAAAATTCATTAGGATACATCCCGGACAACATCACTCCTGGAAAACCCAAACCAACCCCAGAAAGCATCATTGGGGCTTGGTTGAAAAGAAGAAACTACTGCGGCCGAGGATACTTGCAGGGCTACCATGGCCAGCAAAAGAAAGTCAACAACGCCATGTATGGTGCGAACCTCGGAAGCCATGGAACAGGGGGCCCCTAAGGATGCCAGTGCAGGAAGGGCACCCAGCATTCCGGAGCAGGACTCGGGAGAGGCTGGAACAGACCCCTGTGAAAATGACTGTGAGGTGATTGAGGGCAAATCTTCCCCAGCCAACCCAACAAGGAAGCCCCTTGGTGGCTATGAATGTAAGTACTGCCCGTTCTCCACCCAGAATCTGAATGAATTCACAGAACACATAGACACCCAGCATCCCAATGTGATCCTCAACCCCCTCTACGTATGCGCTGAATGTAACTTTACAACCAAAAAGTATGATTCCTTATCCGAGCACAACACAAAACTCCACCCAGGAGAAAACAACTTCAAGCTTAAGTTAATCAAGCTCAACAATCAGACTGTCCTAGAGCAGTCCATTGAAGTAACAAATAACCCAGTTGCGGCTGAAATCCCAGATTATGGGGCGGTTCCAGCTGGGGCGAGCGGTACAAACAAAGCGGTGCCGATTATTAACATTGGAAAGCCTAAAGGTGAGGCTAAGAAAGTTTCTATGGACAACCATCTGGATGGGATTGCCCATCTTTTCACTGAAGCTGCTGAGCCTATCGCATGTATTAATGGAGCAGAGCTTCTCCAAGATATACTGGCTCATGTAATGCCCTCCGTACAGCTCCCGCCAAATATCAACCTCGTTCCCAAAGTCCCTGTACCACTGAATAGTACCAAATACAATTCTGCCCTGGACACTAACGCAACTATGATCAATTCCTTCAACAAATTTCCATACCCCACGCAGGCAGAGTTGTCGTGGCTGACGGCAGCATCCAAACACCCGGAGGAGCAGATCCGGATTTGGTTCGCCACTCAGCGTTTGAAGCATGGCATCAGCTGGTCTCCAGAAGAGGTTGAAGAGGCAAGGAAGAAAATGTTCAATGGCACCATCCAGTCAGCACCTCCGACCATCACTGTTCTGCCAGCGCATGTCACTGCCGCCAAAATGCCACAGCCCCTTATCCAAACAGCAGTGCCTTGTCAAATCCTTAGCCAGACTGGCCTGGTTTTGGCACAAGTATCAAACGGATCAAACGTTTCCCCAATCGCTCTTGCAGTTGCTGCCAATCAAGGACAGAAACGGAGCACACAGAACCAGCCGGCTGTCCTAGAAGCCAAGCGACCACATGTCGTCCCCGCAGAAGTTTTGTCTAAACAGAACCCCCCGGCTACTCCTACTAGTCCAACCACAGTGCCCTTGTCCTCCGCATCACTGATATCACCCAATGATCGCAAGAAGACCAAGGAGCAGATCGCGGCCCTGAAGGCAAGTTTTATTGTCAGCCAGTTTCCTGACAATGCCGAAATTTACAAGCTGATAGAAATCACGGGTCTCTCCAGGAGCGAGATCAAGAAGTGGTTCAGTGACCACCGATACCGAAGTCAGAGGGGGATTGTCAACATCACGAGTGAATCCATAGCCAAAGACCAGATTGCTCTCGCTGCTGCCCGACAGGGACGTGCTTACAGTCCATACCCAGATTTCACTTTTCAGAAGTTCAAAGGAAAAACCCAACAACAATTCCGTATCCTTGAGGAAAGCTTCCTTAAGAGCTCTTTTCCAACACAAAGTGAGTTAGAAAGACTTCGGACTGATGCCAAGATGAGTAGAAGGGAGGTTGAATCCTGGTTCGCGGAGCGAAGAAAGCTCCGGGATAACATGGAACAAGCAGTCTTGGACTCAATGGGACCAAGCCTAAAGAAGGATCAAGGGGCTTCCAATGGTGCACTAAGTGACGTGGAGCAATTTAGCATTTCCCAGGTTCCAACATCTTTGTCCCGGTGCTCCACAGCCCCTGCTACAAGTAGCCAAGAGCAGGTTCACTTGCTGAAGAGTACATTCGCCAGAACCCAGTGGCCATCCCCACAGGAGTATGACGAGTTGGCAGCTCAAACTGGACTCACTAGGACAGAAATTGTTCGTTGGTTCAAAGAGAACAGAAGCTCTCTAAGAACTGGAACCCTAAAATGGTTGGACCAATACAAGCAACAGTATGTCATTGATGGGTATAGCAAGACAAAGGGGCCAATGCCAACTGGGAGCCTGAAGAACAACATCAAAGACATTCAGCAGCCTCAGAAGGACTACCAGGAGCTGGGGGAGCAGAATGTAGAACATACAGGAAAATCAAAAGGACAAAGCCAAGATAACCAGGGCAACAAGAAGAACCAGGACACTGGTGATTGGGTAGAAGTCACCATTGACGATGACGATGCTGCTTCGGACTGTCTGGATAGTTGGAGTCAATCAGTGCCTGAAAGCAAGGCACATTTTGATTCTGAAAGTATATCTGTTGACAAATCTCACACCTAGACAGGTAATGAGGCTGATGTTTTGTCCTGTCTTACCTTTCATCCTGATGCTTCCAGCGAGTTACCTTGCTCACCATTACATTTCCAGGTGGCCAAAGCTTTTGAGTAGAAGGCTCTGGTTTGGGGGTTATGGCCCATAAAATCACTAGAAAAGGGAATCTGGAGCACAGGAAGCTTCCCAAGATCTGGTCAAGCTACGTATTTATCCAGCCTGGCACTGCCTGTTCTGACTGACAATATTTCTCCAGAGACTGCATCAAAGGTCATTTGTGACACATGTGAGGTCTTTAGCTAGAGATGCCCGGGCAGAGGTGGGGAACCGCTTCCAGCCAAAGGGCCAAATTCAGTTTTGGAGAAGCTCAGCTGGAGATAGGGGGAGTGATCCAGGCCATAGACAAAAGGCACAAGGCCTTAAACACAGACAGACTGAAAGCAGGCAGGGAGGCAGGCATATTTTAGCTTAAAGCTGTTACTGCCAGTAACAATTATAGGAGACGCATTTGAACTTTTAAAAATGAGGAAAGATGCATAAAACCCAGGCAAGCATCAAACTGTGGGTGGTTGAGTGAACAGGACAGGAAGAGGCTTTTTGCGAAGGGGGCGGCATAAAAATGCTCTAAATAAATAAATAAGTGGAAGAAGGAACATGGCCACCTGGAAGGTCAGTTTGGGTTCCTGGAGCAGCTTTGGTTCCTGGCCTGGAATTCACTACCTCTGCAGTAAAGATAGAATTTGAGGCCTTCAGCAGGACAAGTAGGGTGTTTGCCATTGAGCTCTTCAGTTTGCTTTTCTCTGTATCCAACTACTTAGACAAACTGAGCTAGGGAAATATTACCGTGGGAAATCTATAGCAGATATCCTAGAAATATACATTATCTTTCATCGACGTCATTGTATATGAATGATATAAGAGGATTACTTATAATTCATGTAGTACTTTAGCAGAGCAGTCTTGCCAATTGGACTGAGGATATCCAAAAAATGAGGAGTTACTCAGTCCTGCCAGGTCCATGACAGCATGAGAAAAGAGACAGGAAGAGACACATTCATTCTTACTGTCTGGTTCTTTTCCTTCGATGATTTCCTTACCATTTGTAGCTAATGGGAGGGAAATTCTGCACATCACCTCTGCGGCTACACCCTCCTGGGGACCAGGAAGAATTTGGAAGTAAAGCATCTCCTACCTGCCTGCTGCCTACCTGCCCATAATCCTCATTATCCAAGGCCATCCTCCACATGTGTCCCGTGTGGGAGGCTCAGAACGTGGCAAGAGGGGAGGGTCCTTCCTCCTGACCGGTCTCCCCCTGAAGCCCACTTATCTTTTCAACTCCAGGTTAAGCTTCTCCTCTACTCTCAAGGCATTCTGCAGCATCTGATAAGGGTTTAGTATGGGCTCTGATTTCTTATGCCGACTGGCAGGGTGACTGTCTACTCATACGTTTCTATGTAACCAGTTTTTTCATATTATGTATAATTCTGCCTTTTTACAGTTTGTAATTTGTAAACTGACCAGAGAGCTTTAGCATTTGGCTGGTATAGTAATGCACTGAATTGGTGAATGAACACACCTTCTGGTCCATCCCTTTCTTGCCTCAACCAGCGTTGGAGCGCTGGCAACAGAAAATCAAAAGCCTTGGGGAAATCCCACATGAGCTGGGAGATACATCCAAGGCTGGATCGCCCTCCAATTGCTGCTCACTCTTGGAAGGGAGGGACCTGAGCTATCCTAAGGGCTGGGAGAGGCCCTTGCAGGACCCACAGGACTGCCACATTCATAAAGTGCTTCATCATATTTTGTCCTTGCAATGACACCATCAGGCAACTTAGCAGACAGAGGCTGAAACAGAAGCTGACACAAAGCACCTTGTCCAAAATTACTCACAGCACCATGTCTCGGGAGGAGCTTCAACCTGAGTGGATTCTACTGCATGTGGTGAACTTTCAAGTCCCTCCTTAGGGTACATCCATTGACATGAATAGGCCTTAAGTTAGTTATGACTAACTAGCTTATTCCGGTGGTTCTACTCTAGGAAGGGCTTATGCCACATTTTACCCTTTTACCCTATGCATGCAATGATTCATTAAAGGGAACAATCCAGAAAAAGTCTTAGTATGTTTAGGAGACCATGGAATACTTGTAGATACTCTTGAGATTCATCTTAATTTAGGGGAAAAACTATGAAGAAGTTTCCTGCTCCCTCCTGGATAAGTATATTTGTTTAAACCCTTCTGGGAAGCCTAGATCTTTCTTTCACACTGCAATACTTCCATCCCTTGACTGAAATACAAACTCATGCCCTCTAGTGGGAAAACATAAAATTCTGGCATGCTTAATAAAATCTAGCCAGGAGTTTGGGTCACAATCCAGTTTAGAACTGGGTATATGTAAGTTCATCAGACCTAGCAGGTCTGCTTTGCATTGGAGAGTTGTCTGTATTCATCCTGCTTTTAAAAAAGATAGTCACAGTGGAAAAGATAGTCACAGTGGAACCAGATGCCTGGAGAGGTGGTGGGCTCTCCCGCACTAGAGACATTCAAAAAGAAACAGCCATCTGAGTGGGATGGTGTAACGTGGCGTCCTGCATCAGCAGGGGTTGGACTCGATGGCCTTCATGGCCCCTTCCAACTCTTCTACGCTATGATTCTGAGTAGAGCTTCTAAACTGGAACACTTACACACATTTTAATACTTTTATTTTTAGGATTTATATTGAAACTTATCTTAGAAAACTGCTTTGGGCCCAGACAGAAATCTGAAAAAAAAAAAAAAGAGAGAGAGAGAGAGGGAGAGGACACCATCCTATGCATATTTAGACAGGAAAAAGTCCTACAAACCCAGGCATTGTCCAGTCCACACTGGATTGCATCTTACGTGTATTTGCTTTGGCATTATTTTATTGTTAATAAAATAGCACGCATCCAGGCCTAGGCAGGCATTGTTTTAGCACCGAGCAGAAGGAATAGGAGGGAACATAAGAGCAGAAAAGGGAAGGGGATGACGTCCATGTGCCAGGTGAGTTCTGATAACTTTTCTTGTTTGACAAGCATTTGGCCTGATGAGCTGGCACTGAACAGACAGCCAGCAGAAAAGTTTTCTGGGACTGAGTCTTTCGTCCCTATCTCCACGTGCAATCATAAGAATGTCTTCAGAGCTGTGCTGAATTACAGCAAGAAGCCATTGTTCTGCTTCCACATTGGCCAGAGAGATGCTCACAGGAAGCCCTCAAGTGGGACCTGAGCACAATTTAGTAGCCCTTGGCTCATGTCTCTTGACAACTGGTATTCTGGGGCATAGTGTTTCTAATACTGGTAGGTAGAATAAACCATCATGACTTGATAACCATAACAAATATGGTTACTTGGAGTAAGCAGTAGAAACAGACTTTACTCCCAGGTAGCTGCACTGAAGTCTCACCTTTGGGAGAGAAGGCAAGAGCCAAATGCTGGCCATTATTTTTTTTTCCTAGCCCACTTTCTTCTTCTTGTGAAGAGCCCAGAATGGCTTACATAGCATTCTGCCACTCCATTTTATATTAACATCCCTGTGAGGTAGGCCAGACCAAGAGTCAGTGACTGGCCCAAAGTCACACTGAGAACCATGGATGAGGGGGGAACTAAAACCCAGATCTCACAAGCTCCAATCCAACACTAACCACTACACCACACCAATGCTCATGTGTATTCCATGCAGCACTTCCTAGGTTCAACCCCTGCCATTTCCTGTTTAAAGGATCAGGAATTTTTCTGTTTGCAAACATGGAGAGCTGCAGTCCCTCTAGGTGAGCTAGATAAACAAGAAGTCAGACCTGACCCAAGGCAGCTTCCTCTTCTACACCTGAGAGTACATCCCTTTGAACTCAGTGGGGTTACTTTTAAAAAGGAACAGCTAAGATCACATTCGTAGTGTTTTCAACCATCTGGGGTTAGGGTCTTTTTCCATTCTTGCTTCTTATATTTATGTACTGTCATTAGGCAAAGCTTTCTGGTAGCTCACGAAACATTCTTAAAATCATAAAAAATGGCAAAACATATTAGTAAAAGTCATACATTTAAAATAGTTAAATCCAAGTAAGAACTAGGATAAAAGCCAACAACAATTTAAAGAGCCAAAAAAACACTAATGCATTTTTAGAAATGAAAAGTAAATGTGGAAATAAAAAGGTCTTCACATATGGTGCCAGGAAGTCCCCAGTGCAGGAGCCAGGAGGTAGGTATTCAGTAATCAGGATACCATTACTGGGGGAGGGGGGGTGGTTAGGTCTTCCCATCTGCCTCAACTCATTTCTCGTTCTAAAATTTATCTTGATCTGCCTTGAGTGTTCCTTATACACCTACCCACCCACTGAGATCTGGGAATGAAGCCCTTCTGAAAGAGCCATCCATAAAGGAAGTGAGAGGGTTGGTGAATGGAAGGGCCTTCTTAGTGGCTGCCCCTCCCACCTTTGGAATGGGCTTCCTAGAAAGACCTGCCAGGTGCCACCATTACTTCCATTTCTGTACCAGGCAAAGACTATCCTTTTCCATAGACATTTTGAGACCTGATTTTATTAACTGGTTGTTTTAAGATATCATGGGTTTGGGTTTTTTACAAATTATTACTAGGAATTGTAATGTTATGTCTTGTATTTTATGCATGCCGCTTAGAGAGCCCTCTCAGGTTAGTCAGTGGCCTATAAATTTAAAAATAAATAAACTGAACTGTAGGAGGATTGCATACATCATCTGCCGAAGAGAGCGCCAGATCTAGGGGCAGATAACCTTGGGCAGCGAGCTTGGGGGACAGCTGCGCCCAGCCCAGACTGTACCTCTCCTTGTACTGCTCTCAGTCATCCACTCAGCAACTGCAACAAATACCAGTTTGTACTGTATAAAAACCAACATACAAAACTTAGTGTGAACATTTTAACATCTTGAACAGCAGGGATAAATCGTGTGTGTGAATTGAACCCCTGAGTTTTGAAATGACTAACACAAGCAATAAGAATATTTAGAGGTTGGACCAATGGAAGGGGTGCTTTTCAGTTTTGAATCAAACAGCCCAAGCACGCTCTAAGCAGCAGTGGCTCTCGTACCTTTGGGTCCATGTTTGGATTTATCTATGGGACTCCCTGCTGGGTCTGTTCCACTGGGATAAATGTATAACTTTGCACACCTGTACTATTTTGTGAACTAATCACATTCTGCGCATTTTTCTTGTTCCTAGGCATGTTACTCGGCTTTCTTGACCTCTCTTTCCAGCCTTGGGAGTACCCTGTCATAGACCATGGGATCAAACACGGTCTTTCAAAATAGAACACCCCAAGCTGCAATTCTAGAATCGAAGTCATGATGGAGAAAAGACCATTCTGTGGAGCGATGCAACAAGTTTCATGGTGCCAAAGTCCCATTAGGGGATTTTTCAAAAAGGGCCCTTGTATATAGGTTCTCCTTGTAGTTGCTATTTGTTTCCTTCCATTGTATACTTACTTTGTAAGGAGTATTTTGCCACCTTTTCTGGTCCACACATACATGACAGGTCACTTCTGTCAAGCTAAGCATTCGACATTTCAGTTTTCTTTAAAATTAGTAACCACTGCATCTTCTTCAATGATAATCTGAAGACTTCTTGGTCTACTGCATCTGTTTTTAATAAAGAGCTTCTACCCCCATGGAATATCCACTTCAGCACTTTTGCCAAATCCATCCTGGATTCTATTGTTTGCTCATTTGGTTTTCTTAAGAACCTGATTTGCAGTTGGTTCTGTGTTTTGCTCCTGTGCATGAAGAAAAACCTTTGTCACATCAGGAGAGATCTCCTAACACATCCGGTAATTCACTGGTTGCCAAAACATCTGGACTGTGGAAGACAGGAGATACTGATAGTGTAACGCCTTTGCTTGTTCCAAGCACCTTTTTTCTACTATACATTGTACAATCTAAAACAAATGGACTTTGCAATGGAGGGCTTAACCTGCTTTATAACTCAACTTGTTCATAATTCTTTCTGGTACAAGGACAGAGACTCCTATTTTTGTCAGCCTTAGATGCTGCAGTGCACAACATGGTTTCTTGAACCTTTGCTCTACGTTTTTAAGCTTGTTTCTAGCTTCCCCTGAGTGCACTTTTGTTCTTCAAACAAAAAGGAAAGGGAGAAAAATGGAGCAGATAACTGTCTTGGGTCAACGTTTAAGGTTGACTTTGCTGTAGTTTTGAGAGACTGATCCATTCCATCCACCCACATACGCTGCACAAACCTAACATTAGGGAGTTTGAATTAATTAAAAAAAAATTCCAGCTTTTTTTTTTTTTTTTTTTTTTTTTTTTTTTTTTTTTTTTTTT